GCAGGAAGTTCGTGTGAACAGAGTAAACTCCACCTTCGTCTGTGTGTGTTTCTACAGACTTAATGACATCCGCTGTTTATCTTCAGAAATAATAAGCTCAGAACAAGCCGTTTCTGCAGTTTAGTCTTAATAAATGCTGTTTGAGACTAAAGAGGAGGTTTTGAGCTCTCAAAGTGTTTGTTTTTAATAGTTCAATGAATTCATAGATTATCAAAAGAATCACGTTTTCAAGAAAAACACGTTTGTTTGACTATCAGTGAGCTCATCTCATAGACTTCCACTGTTTTTCTATCAGGCTAATGATATTTTCTGTCTTCTAACTTGACCTCTGACCGCTAAACCAACACACACAAAAACCTGTGCAAACACTAGACTTAAATAAAAGCATGATTTATATGCATAACACATAAAATCGTACCTAGTTGCATGATTTGCCCCTCATAAGTACAGCTAAACAACTGAAAGTATGGTTTCCTGGGTTTGATTTAAAGGGAATGCATGAATGATTAAATGCACTTTTTAACTGTGCTTTGAATGCAACCTAGGTTGCTTTGGGTAAAGGCATCTGCTAAATGCATACGTGTTAAACAAACACATGCAGATTGACTACAGATTTAAACAACTGAATCTCTCTCTAGGTTTTTATTTTTATTTTTAAGGTGCTTTATTGGCATGACATTTTTTTATATTGCCAAAGCTGTGCAGCATTACTGTATACAGTTAAAACATTGCAAAATGAAACTGGTGCAAAACAGTGTAAAGCAAAGAGAAAAAGCAATGTAACTGACAGAGAAATATCAGGTGAATGTACAAGTGAATAAAGGTGGTGTGTGTCTGCAGGCTGGCGGTGTGTGTCTGGGATCCGTGTGTTCACGGCGGGGGATGTGAAGGCCGTTAATGGGACAGATGTGCGTCTCAAATGCACCTTCCAGAGTTCAGCTGCGATCCGAGCGACGAGCGTCACAGTGTCCTGGAGTTTCAGACCGCTCGGCCCAGGACACGAGGATAGGAGGTGAGAGCGTGTTGGGGGGGTGTGTGTGTGTGTGTGTGTGTGTGTTTCACGAGTTCACACTTACATATAATAAACAGAGTAAAGGTTATCCGTATTTGGCGTGCTGTTCGAGGGGAAGGCTCCGAGCTCGGAATTTTGGCCTGAACCCAGAGTACAGAGCAAAGGACAGCCGCCCGACGAATAATCCCAATGAGGGTTTGATGGGCTTTTTTAATGTGGAATCGATTGGTCCTGATGTAGCTTTTGAAAGCGTCTGAAGACCATCGCCCGAGAGCTTGGATTTGATGCTTAGAGAGGCCTTTTTGAGCTGCTGAGGTTGCTGCCCCGATGCGAAAAGAGTGGCTGGAGTAGTTACCCTGATTTGAGGTGTTTTTGGAACCAAAAGCGAGTTACAGGTTTGTTGGAGTCGTCTAGAAATAGAGGTTCAAGAGGGGATTTTGTCTGGGAGTTTCTGAATTGGATGTATGCGAGGACAGTTTGGTATGGTTGGATTGGTGATGGGAGGTTGGAAATATAGCTAAAATGGCCTTTCCTAGCTTGGTCTGTCTTGCTTTGTTTAATCAAAATGGAGATTGTTTCACTGTCGAGGACGGATAAGTCTGAGATGGTGTGGTGGACTTTTGAATTGAATTTAGAAGTGATAGCGAGTTCCGAACATCTGAGAAAACCAAAAAAGGTCAGGATAAACATAGCGTTGAGTGTGCGGGCGGTATTAATGGGCCCGTAGCCTGAATGGAGGGTATGAATACATTTTGTGAGAATGTCTAGAGTTATTGGTTGTCTGGTGTCGGGGCGGGTGGGCTGGGATCGTTGAATCCCTTTGATCAAGAGGGAGATTTGGGAATTGTTAATTTCGGGGGAGGAAGTGCCAAAAATCTATTTGTGAAAAAATTGGACGCCACTCAGGTACCCTTTGATGGACCCAACTTGGAAGCCCTTAACGCTGTTGAGGTAGGAGACAAATGAGGAGATTGAGAGAAGAGAGAAATTGGGAAACGGCAGGTTATATGAAAGGTGGAATGCTTTAAAACACCTCCACGCTGTCACATAAGACTGGAAGGTTCTGGGAGCCACTGCTTGGAGGATGGTGTTGAGCGATGCATCGAGAAGGGGTTTTAACGGGTGGGCTACGGAAATATTAGTTCTGAATAATGAGGCACTGGAGTTGGGAATTGGTCCGCATCTGTAGCCCTCAGGACAGACACGGGATGGCAGGCCCCCAGAGCGGTACCCATTCCGGGACCCATGGCGGATCAGGCAGTTCGGGGTGCCATGGTGGAGCAGGCAGACTAGGAAGCCCTGGTGGAGCAGGCAGACTAGGAAGCCATGGCGGAGCAGGCAGACTATGAAGCCATGGCGGAGCAGGCAGACTAGGAGCCCATGGCAGAGCAGACAGTTCAGGAGGCCATGGC